TAGCTGGATTCTGAAATGATGCCTAGTTCCCACTACCTGAAGCTGAACCAGCGTGACTGCCTTGTTGTTCCCCGGGGCCTAGGGGAGACTGCATCAGACGATTTGGGCAATTCCGTTTGAGATGTCCGGTCTGTCCACAGGTATAGCATGCGTAAGGCTGAAAACGCCCACTACCTGAGGAGCTACTACTGCCACTGGTCTGCGGACCTTGTCCCTGTACCTTGTCTTTCTTACCCATCTTCCTCGATTTTCCACTCCCACCTGAACCTTTGTATTCCCCATAGGTACTGTTCAGCTCTGCCTCTGCTCGCTCTGCTGCATCAACCAACTTAAGGAAATTGTTTGAAGCAGTCGAGGCTATCATCTGCCTCAGTCTAGGCCTCAGGTTTTTCCAGAATTTCTCACACCGCGTCATGGGATCAGCAACAGCACCTGGATTGTAACGGGATAGCTCGATAAACCGTGCATGGTACTGCGTCACTGTCATATCACCCTGTACCAAATCATCAAATTCCCTGATCATTCTTAGTCGGTGATTCTCAGGAATGAACGATCTCTTGAAGAGGGCCTCAAACTCATCCCAAGAGAGGCTAGGTATATCATAGTCATCTCCTTGGCTCTCTAGCCACTCTTCTGCTTTCCCTTCAAACATGTAGGTCGCAAAGTCGACACAGTACTCTGGTGGGATACCGAGAGTCCGGAGTTTCTTTTTAATACTCTTCAACCATTGCTCTGGGGCTACCGAATCAGGCTCGCCAAGAAATGTGGGAGGTTTCTGCTTCATGAACCTCTCAAGCAATGTCAGGCGTTGTTGAGCAGGATTTGGATCCTGGGGAGGATTCTGAGCATTTTGGAATGTCTGGAACATAGCAGTAAACTGTTCCATATCGAAGGCTAGGGCAGCAGGTGGGGGATTGCGCCTCGGCGGCATGCTTTCAGATTTGACTGTGAAAACTTGACAGAGGTAGTACTGATGATGATCCTCAAACACAAAAGGAGTAAAACTCAATAAAACCGTTTAAAAGTGGTGCTACATTCCCTAGGTTTCCCAACCTAGGCTCTGATATCAAAATTTGTGACGCCCTTAAGTGGGGGTTATGTAATAAAAGTACGGTAACGGTGCACAAATAGAAATAAAATAAAATAAAACTCCTGAAATAAAAACAATGTCTGCCCATGGGCCTTTAAAACAAACTCTCCGTTAAAACCCATAATTCATCGTTACGTTAAAACTTAGATCCATAGTATAACGTAGCACCAATAAAATATTTAACAGTACGATCATCATCATCAGTTACAATTCTGTCCAAAGTAATCCAATCAAGGTCTTACACAAATTTAAGGAAGGAAACTGAAAATGGTAGATCCTCTACGAGGGGCGCGCTGATCGGTGACTACTCCTCGTCCGAAAGGTTGCACTGTACACCCCCTGGAAATGAAAGAGGACAAAGGGGGTGAGCACGGAATGCTCAGTATGAGAACTATTACTCACTTTTAATTTTATTTACCTTTACCAAATTAAACCTGCATGGTTAGTAATTTCTACTTTTTATGCACAATAAATTATGAAAACCTGTGTCAGTGAGATAATCTAGTCCGTACACTCGGGGCGATAAACCCCCGAAGGGCGCGGTGACTCAGAGAGACTGATGGTAGGGAACTCTAACTCGATGTCCTTACCAGATCAGTTCTCGAACCACGGGTAAGGATGAATTGTCGTTCCGGACCCTCACCAGGACGTAACCACTGTACAGTAACCTTGGGGATTCTCAACCCCGGAGAGCGTCATCACCTCTCCCTCTTTTACCTTTTCGGGTTCACACCCAGGGATGGTGAATGGCCACACCTACTGTTAGCACACTATCTCACTATTGTGTCCGGTTTACATTCTCCTAACCATGCTTTTGTGTCAATTTCCAAAATTATGTTAAAATCTCTTGGCCACGCTGTACATTACAGGACGGGCCCCTAATGGTTCTGTTTCAAGTCATATCGTGTAACAGTAATAAATAAGTTTGATATATAATTTAAATCTTCTCCAAATTTAACAAAATAAATTAAATTAAATAAAACTCCACAAAAGTTAAGTAATAGGACCCCT